TTATAGCAACATCACACAACTGGTGTCTTGGGTTTATATACTTTTCCCCCTGGATTAAGAAGAGTCATGGAGACTGTGTTGAAACTTTAGTTAACTACCTTCATTGGGTATTTTTGTTCATCATTTGGAAGCTTTTTTCAGATTTTGGGTTAGGATCGGTGGTTAAGATCTGTGAGCTGTGGTAGCAGAGTCCATATTCTTGATTCTGTTCATATATCCAGAAAAAAAAGTAGATAATAAGATTTTTAAAAGAGCAATAATGAGAGGAGGAGTATGAAGTTCATAGTAGTAAATGGAGCCTGTGTGTGTGTAGTGGCGTATTGTAACAGCTGTTTCTAGATGAATGGGCTTTACTGTTACTGAGTAGCTCTGGTTTAGGTGCTTCATTTTGCTCCAGAAATGAGAAGGTAATTTACCTGGCTCTCCACAGAGGATGCAGCTCTCAGGAGATGCCTGTGTGCAGTAGCTGGGGTGGCTGGTGCTAAGAGAGGGGGAAGGCAGCAAGAAACGCAGGAGCTGTTGCATGTTGGACCCGTGGCACAGAACAGATCCCGACTGAGGTCCCAGTGCTCTGACATGATAGAAAACCAGATTCAGTTAACATCTCCTTGAATTCCAGAACCGAGGCATATTTGTTACAGTGTTTCCTTTCCCTTGTCAAAAAGCCTGTGAGTTCTTTTAAAATATATTTATGAATTGTACTTTTGTTCCCAGAACTGATCATTATTAGTGTGACTTATTACCATAATGTCACATCACTTGCTAACTTTTCTACTGCTAATATTTTTCTCCTGGCTGCTTGTCAGTTCATTACTGGCTTTTTATTAGGGGGGGAAACGGTTTTACTGAGAAGAAATTGGAGGGGGAAAAAATGTATGCATGGATTTTCTTGCCACATTGAACACCAAACCATCTGATGTGGTACTCTGATGAAGATAAATGCTGGGCAGACTGGCCTGTACCAGCTGCTGCCTCAAGGGAGCTGGAGGAAGTGATCCTGTGAAGTTTTCTTCCTCTCCACTTCGTTGCCGTTTGGCTGATTTAGTTCAAATGGGCAGTGAAAGCCTAACCTTCGTGTAGATGCTCAAAAGCTCTAGTTTGTTTTGTTTGCCTAGCGTCTCCTCTAGGGATGCATTCTGAAGTGCGTTTGGTCAGTCCGGTTACAAAACCATCCCAACGTTGTCCCCTGAGCTCAGGTAAGGCATGGTGCCAGCTGAAGTGGTCAGGTTACTGGTGATGAGCTGTGTCTCTGCGCTGAATGAGTGGCTAATGTCTGGAGCCTGGCTGTCTTTCAGATGTGATTGCTGAGAAAGGTTTGTCGTCTTTAACACCGCTTAAAAATGTTTACACTGATTCCCTTCTTTTGGAAAGTCAGATCTTGAAGCTGGTAGGAGGTGGAGGCTTAAAAATTGCCTTCGCTCTTTAGACTGACTTTCAATCCAAGCCTTACTTTTCAGGTTTTGAGATTGAGTGGTGATCCCTTTAAATGCTGTGCTCTGCCTTTCTGGAGGCTTTTTGTGGAGACACACTGATCAATATGTTGAGCAAAGCTTTTAAAGTAATTTCCGAGACACCTGTGAGCCTCTTCTGTGCTGCTGCGTTTAGCATTTCAATGTGGCAATTGCTCAGTAGCCCAAAGCAAATTTGTTGAAGTAGATACAAATGAACAGGTCAAAGATAAGCAGAAGCAGCATATGAAAGGGCAATGTCAGCAGACAGCAGGACTTCCAGTTTCTTATCTAGTGCTTTACTGGAGATAGAGGAAAAAATCAAGCAGTGGAAACGATTTATTCTTGTTCTCTGAAAGTTCAGTTTTTTCCATAGAGTTGTGTTTGCTGATCCTGCATCAGTTTCCCCAAAGCAGAAAAGGCATTTTTTAATTCAAAGGAATAATTATTTTTCCTGATGAGCTTATGCTAAAGAACCCACCTGTGGGGGGCTGATGGACAGGGATGCATACCCACTGCAGTGCTGATAACTGTAAGCTTGCTATGCAGCTCTCATTGTTAAACTATGTACCACCGGCTTTCCTCAAAAGAAAATCTCATCTGCTCTGTCGGTGTAAAAGCAGTCCTACTGAACTACTTGTTAGCTGCCTCATGCTATGTGGTGCAGGGCAAAGCTCTTGTCTATACACGGATAATTACCCTGGATCAATTAATACCTAGGAACTTGATCTTGTAAGAAACCACAGCATGTGGCTCTGTTCCTCCTAACATTAATCCTGAAGTTGAACCTTATCTGTGCTGTTAAATGTTAGATGGAAGCGCACGTGGGATTTTTTGGTGAACACAATGAGAATGGCTTTCCCTTATGCCCTTAACTAGTAACCAATTTAAAAAAAAATATTAAAAAGCAGATATCTTATAGGGGAGTAAATGTCTGGGTTTAAGCCAATAGGATTATTCTGCTACTGGTTTAATTCAGTGCTTTGACTGGTCTTTGAATTTTGTAGCACAGTGGGCTGAGTAGGGGTAGTTCTGGCTTCTGAGCATCTGAGGTTCAGATGCAAGCGTCTAGATCTCTGCTTTCATTCTGAGCCTCTAATGCTCACCCGCTGAACTGTAATGTTAAGACATGTCAGATTCTTTGACTAGATGTACAACTGGAGTTAGTGTTTATTTCTTGCATTTGTTATGGTCTAAAAAGCAAATTTCACATTAAATATTTGTCCTGGCTTTGGCTCCGATAGCACTATGTCAGCTACTAGAAAGAAAATTAACTGTGTTTTGTATTTAGGACGAGAATATTGTTGATAACACACTGATGTTTTCAGTTGCTAAGTAATTGTAGTGTCTATGCTAAGTCAAGAACTTTTCAGCTTCCCATACCCTGCCAGGTGCACAAGAAGCTGAGAGAGCACAGCCAGAACAGCTCACCCATACTGGCCAAAGGGATATTCCCTACCATACAACGTCATGCTACGTATAGAATCCTACCTGGGAGGTAGGATCACTGCTCAGAAACAGACTGGGCATTATTTGTTTTTTTCACCTTATGCATGTGGTGAGCAATTGCATTTGAGCATCACATGTTTTATATATATTGTTATTACTATTATTCTCTTCCTTTGTTATCCTATTAAACTGTCTATCTCAACCCATGGGTTTGGGTTGGTTTTTTTCCATTCACCTCCTTGGGGGTGAGGTGTGAGCGAGCGGCTGTCTGGTGCTCAGTTACCAGCTGGGGTTAAACCACGACAGTCCCTTTTTAGTGCCCAATGTGGAGCTTGAACCTGCAACCCTGAGATTAGGGTCTTGTGCTCTACCGACAGCTAGCTGGGCAAAAATAGGGAATGTTTCACGAATTTGCGCGTCATCCTTGTGCAGGGGCCATGCTAATCTTCTCTGTAGTGTTCAGATTTTAGCGTATGTGCTGCCACAGCAAGCATGAGATGGCTGGAAATGTATCCTGTGCCCCATGCCGTTGCCTGGAACGCTATCCTGGGCCTTGAAAAACAAGTTCTGTGGTGGCATGGCACCCCAGAAAGAATTGAGTCAGACAATGGAACTCACTTCCAAAACAGCCTCATAGACACCTGGACCAAAGAGCATGGCACTGAGTGGGTGTATCTCATCCCTTGTCAGGCACCAGCCTCTGGGAAAATTGAATGATACAATGGGCTGTTAAGGACTACACCGAGAGCAATGGGTAGTGGGACCCTCAAACATTAGGATACACACTTAGCAAAGGCCACCTGGTTAGTTAACACACTAGGGGGTCTGCCAACGGACCTGGCTCTGCTCAATCAAAACTTCCATGTACTGTAGAAAGAGATAAAGTCCCCATACTGCCCATGAAGCACGTGTTACAGAAGACAGTCCGGGTTACTCCTGCCTCGGGCAAAGGCAAACCCATCTGTGGGGTTCCTTTTGCTCAAGAACCTACATGCACTTGGCGGGTGATGCAGAAGGATAGGGCAGTCCAATGTGTACCTTCAAGGGGATTTGATTTTGAGTGAGAATAGCTGATGATTTAAATTGTATGATATTAATTGCTACATAATACTGCATGTCAGATGATTTAAATTGTACGATATTAATTGCTACATAATACTGCATGTCATCACTACTATGATTGCTATATGCCATAACAGTATTACAGTAAGAATTGCCCAGACTAATGAAGAATGAACTTTGAAACCGAGCAAAGTGCAGAGGTGATGAAACCAGAACTGGCTTCAGCAACTTCCTTGAGATTGACATCGCCAACCTACAGGCTGTGGGCATGGACTGCAAGCTCTGGATGCAGCATGCGACAATCCAACATCAAACCATCTTTCCTGCCCTGAGACTCTTATAACAGATGGAGCCCAGAAGTCATGGGTGAAATTAACTCAATGGACATTTTAGAGGGATGACCCACAGACTAAGGGAATGATATCTGTGTGTACATATCAAAAGACAGGAAAAGTGATGGTGGTTAATTGGAATGTATTGGGAAGTACAGAACCTGGGCATGATGTAGATGGTGTGGAATAAGGGTGGATATACCTGCTGAGACACAGGCTGACCTCAGAGTATATAGAGAGTATAATTTTGCTGGGAGACTTAGCACTCAAAACAGGAAGGCCATTTAAAAAATAAAACTTGAAGCTCCTACCAGTCTTCCTACCTGGAAGAACAAAATATTTCAGAGGTAGACTTTCCACCTGATCTTACGATAGCTTGGGCTTTATATAGACATATTAAAAAAAGTGGTTATTTTAACCTATGTAAGCACTGAGCTTGAAACCATTTCTGCTAGAACATTCATGTTATGGGTATACTATGAATTCCTGCTCTGAACCTGTGTATGTCAGTTGTACTGACAGATTGGAATCTCTGTATGCAAGGCAATCAAAAACTCAAATTTATGGGGGTTTTCTGGGTATAAAACAATGGGGGGGAACATGTTCCATTGTCTCACTGCTTTATAAAGTGTTACTGGTGGGCGATTTCTTTTTAATCCCCCAGGGAAGGCTGTCCTAGGTTTCAAAGGGCTGTTTGCCTGTCCACAGCATGTGTCTGTTGAGTCCGGAATGTGTTTTTGCAATGACTTTCTTTAAAAAGACCTGGGAAGCAATCATCCGTAACAGCGCTCGGCTTGCTGTCTTTGTAAGCTGCTTCTCGTTCTGCAGCCTCCCTGGTTTCCAGTTATATGCGCCCCTCTGAGCCTGATTGTGTAGCTATTTTTTCCTGATAAATTGAACCTCCTCATGGAATGTCCTCTTCCAGGGGATGAAAGGAGTGTGGGCAGCCACTGCACTGGCTGTGCAAGGTGGTACCTCTTGCTTCTGTAAAAGGCTAGCCAGTGCAGATACTTTCTCTGAGCATCCTGATTTATTTGGTAGAATTAACTGCCCTGTGTTGCTTTGTATTCAGCTATAAAACACATTTATCTTGCAGATAGACAAGAAGTTTGGTGTTCTGTAGAAAGCAACAGCAGCTTGTTTCTGGGTTAAACTTTAGAGTGTTTCACCACGTGTTTAACGCTTGTGAGGAAAGTGGATGACCGAAGTATTAGAAGTTAACTGACTGTCAAAACATGTACTAATCCAGCCTTGTTTTGATGTCAATCATAGTGCTGTAGCTGCTAAGCATTTGCTGTAGCAGGTGGTGGGTGTTGGTTTGGGATTCCAGACACTGAAATGGTATTTGTTTCAGTACCTCTCTTCCCCCCCCCCCCCCCTTTTTTTTTTCTTTTCCCTTAGGAACTTAAGTTGCCTACGTATAAGGCTCATTCACCACAGATTGGGATGCGCCGATACTTCATTGATCTCTTGACTGTCCTCAGCAACCGTTTCAATCTCTGCCCTACAGCCCGGCATCTCGCTATCTATTTATTGGACCTCTTTATGGATCGCTATGATATCACTGTCAAGCAGCTGCACATCATTTCATTTGCCTGTCTTCTCCTAGCAAGTAAGTTGGCTGCTGTCTGTTAAAGCTTTTTTTTTCTGAGCAGATGATTGTTTTCCTTATATATCATGTGCTGCTTTCTCTGTGTTAACAGCTTCTGCTTACTTAGGGTAAGGCCCAATGAAGTCCAAGTCAAGACATAAAGCAGTCTGTAAATAAACACTGCTCAACTGCATAGCTAGCGCTACACAGCTATATGCTGGTGTTAATGTGCAGGGGAAGTTTTGGCAACTGAAGCTGGGTCAGTGAAAGGAGATAATGAAGATGAGGGGGTGATGGAGTGAGAAGGAAGTGGCAAGACTGGGAGAGATTTGTTCCAAGGAAGAGTTGGTAGTAGGGAATGACGTCTGTGTAACAAGCAGCCTCTCCTGAAGATCTGTCCTTGGGCAATCAGTGCTTCTGTTGTGATCAGTTCCTTGCAAATCAGAGGTTACTTCTACAGAGACCAAAGGAAAATTTGCTTCTCAAGGCACTTAGTGGATGTGTTGATGATGCTGGAATGCCTATCGCTCGTTCTGGACACCTATCAAATAGATAAGCGTTGCTGTGTAATACTAAGGTTTTAGTACTGGCATCCATTTAGCAAATTTGAACACTTGTCATTAATGCTTTCTTGAAATCTCTGCAGCCAGAGAAGGGTGTGTAAGTGGAGGAAAGCAAGACTGGTGTCTCAAGGAATTGCAGTCTACCCTTGCAGACTTTACAAACTCTGTTTCTAGGTTACAGAGAAATTATTCTGCCATATGGGAGCCATGCAGAGCAATGCACTATTGTGCACAACGAAAGTTATGCAAACTCTAGCATTAATGGCTGAAAAATAAGGTAAAAAACACTGTAGAGAAGCTATCGAGGAAAGAAGGTGATACTATATGTTTACTTCTCAGGACATGGGATTGCTACTGCTTTTCCTTGCTGGTGGTTCTGAAGAGCTTAATCTGCAGAGATAACAAAATAATAAAAAACCCTATACACTTAGTATATTTAAGCATTGCTGTCTGAATCCAGAGAAGATGGTGAATTATGTGGAGCAGTTAATTGTTGATATTGCAAAAAAGGCCAGTATTAAAATCAGAACAAAGAATGTAAATGGTTGCTGTACATGCAGTCTTAGAGCAGCCCAAGTGACTCAGATATTGTAGTTCTGCTGACCTGAACCTTTGGTGATCTCCTTCAGACCACAAGATTGGCAGAAAACAATTCTAGCTGAGGAAGTGTTTTCTTTATTTACCAGTGAGATATTTTTCTGAGGTGTCAGACAAGCTTCGGGCTGGTGCAGTGGAGGGGAGAGGGGTTAGGGCTGATTTGTAGATTGTTGTGAAACTGTGCCCTTATTTTCAGACACATCAGACTGAATGAAATACCAGGTTCAGGTAGCCTGGTGACTGCTGTCTGCTCAGAGGTGTACTCCAGCTTTCAGACCATCTCTTTTTCTTTTATTGGGTAACCTTATAACTACAAGATGCCTAGCAGCGTTGCTAGGTTTTTGGGATTGGTTTTTTTTATTATTTTCCCAAGTGCACATATGAATGTTACCTTTAGGAAAAAAAGAATAGGATTTTCTTTAGGTAAATCTGACACTTTCAAATATACTCTATTTTTCCCCAGCATAAAATTGATACTTAAACAGCTCTTCTAATACCTTTTCTTTTGCATTTAGAGGAAGAATTTATAGCTGTAGTTTACCTCTCCAGTGCAATGCAGATAGGATGAAAATGGTACCTTCAAACTGTATGAATTGTCAGAGTTGGTATACGGTAAGATCTTGGGCAAAGGTTCAACGTATGAGATTGGGAGAGCTGGACTGCTGACTTCTGTAGCTTCTGGGATTTAAAAAAAAGCAAAAAAGCTTTCAAGATTTTTTCTTATGTAAATGACTGAAGTAAAATGCAACTTTAGGCCAGGTCTATGCAACTGTGAAGCAAAAGGAAGTTCACAAACTGCCCTGTGACAACACTAGAGGGAAATGTTTTGCAACTTCTGTCTGTTTTTAAAAAAAAAAAAGGCAATTTGCTTAAAAGAGCAAGCTGAAGTCTAGTGAGCCAATGAGTGTGAGAATCTTTCTAAAATTAAGATTAGAGCAATGCAGTAGCATGTATACATCCTGATCTGGAATTAAATCATCCCTTACAGGGAGAGGAAAGCTCTATTAGTGCAAAGGCAGCTTTTCTACCAACATGTAGAAACAAAACATTGAAAGATGAAACAAAGCAGCTTTGCACAAAATTAATGCCTCATTAGCTTGTATAGATAAGGTTTAAAATGCTAGGGCTCGGTTTGGAGCCTATTGGGAGCATGGTAAGCTCTGTTGTTTACTGTCTGGGCCATCTTAATGTGCAATAAAGATACTCTTTTTTGGGTATGTGTAGTTCAAAGTGATGCAAGTCAAGTCAGGAAAAGTGACTTTACAGTAAGTGGCAATTCCTGTGTTTAGTCTGTTACTTTCAAAATTATATGAAATAGAAGAAAACTTGTACTATGATTTTTTAAAATGTTTTGTAATAAAAGATTCTGAGTAAATCAGAAGTATCAACTTGAAGTCACCTGGAAAGTTCTCATTATAGCAAAGAAGAATAAAATTAGTCCCTTGCCTGTTAATGAGAACTTCCTGCAAAGCATTACTGTAGGAAGTTGTGTAGTTTTTCAGCAGAGGACTGCAGCAAAAGTGCTCTTCAGGCTGTGTTGACAGACACTTGTACTTCTAAAAAATTGTATAGCTTTACCTGAGAGAGCAAAAAACCAATCTTTTTAAAAATAGTTGTGGTGTTTACATTATATCAAGATGAATGTTTAATGTAAACTATCTTTCAATAATTATAAACACATTTTGAGAAACCGAGTTTTCTTCCTGATTAGTTTCTTAGAAAAGAGCAAGAGATTAAGGGTAGTGTTTAGACCACAAGCAAGATGAGGTGTAGTTAGAGGCAAGATTACTTATTCCTGCTAATTACTCTGTGGGTTTTTTGGGGAGTGGGAGGGGCATAATAGAGAAGCTTTTAGACACACAACTTTTGAAATGGAAGCAACAAACTTCTAAGCTAAATGCAAGTTGAGGACAATTCTTAAACTCAGAGAAATAGTTGTAAACTTGTGTTTAGCTCTGAAGTTTGCTTCTGTCACAGATCTAAAGGATCTCAAAAACTTGTCTCTTTTTTCCCTTTACCTACAAACATTGCCATCGCCTATTTTCGGTAGCATACAACAGCAGTGCTCTTCGTGATGGAGAACATAGCATTTTGCTGGATGTCCTTTAGTTAGCTGGAGCTAATTTCTCTTGCTATGTTCTAGAAATGCATTTTGACTGGCTCATCAGTTTCCCCAGACATTCCCCAGATGCTGATTACTTCAGTAATAATTGTGAGAGAGATGAGGGAGTGAGAAGATAATACTGTTCCAAACAAATGGCACTAGCAGCCAAGTAATGTTCAGCCTGGACTTACTGCCATTGAGAGGAATGTGGGTGTGTGTCCCTGGAATCATCCAGTCATTCACTAGCTGGAAGATGTATGTTTCTTTGCAACGTATGCACAGTGGGATAATTGGAGAAGGCCTCTGGAAATTCCTGCCAGATAGCTGTTCTGAAGAGCTAAACTATAAAAGCTTTGAGGTTTGCTAATGTCATCGATGGTTATTATTTCCTCTGAATCCGTTCTGAAAAAGAATGGTAAAAATTGTTCACAGTAATCTAGAGGTGAATTGTATTGGCGGAGGGAAGAAAAGTTGCTGGAAAAATTGATGTTACAGTTCCTTTAGGAATGTATTTGGAATAGTCTGTATCTTTCGCTTGCGTTAAGGGAAAGTTTATGATCTAAATCAGAATCATAAACTAAACATGTTTTTTGTAATACAGAAAGACCTGGTCCATGTGTCAGGTACAGGATTAGAAGACAAGGAACCTCCTTTTGAGGTCCAGCTGTGGTAATACAAGAGGTTGTAGGTTCCTGCTGCTGCAAGATCATTAGTGAAGTCCAGTGGTTTTAATGCTCAAGACAATCCTTTTATCCCTTGCTTGAAGCAGACTAGTGATTGCTCAGGTTGACTGCTGTTAGGTCAGGGAGATGCTGGCTGTTGGTGAGAAGTAATGCTGGGCAGCTGGGACTGGTGGGCTTCAGGCAAGCCAGCTGGATCTAGAGCAGGATGGTTACCAGTACACCTGCACAGAAGCCAGAATTGCTGTCTCTGCTCCAGGCTATGGACGGATGCTCGCTTTGGAAACAGATGAATGACTGAAAATGTCACCACTTCTATTTTTCCCCAAAGCACCCCAGTACTTTGAGTAAGCTGTGATTTTTCTCCAGACAAAATCAGAGGGCTGATGCTTTCAGTAAGTGGATTGATCTAGTTTAACATGTTGCCTGAAGGGAATTGAGGAACTTTCAGTTCACCTCACCTGGCAGCTGAGAAGGCAGCCTCTTGTTGAGGAGCACTGTTGAGCAGCGGCAGGTTGTAATGTTCTAAACTGCGTCTTCATCGGCCAATTTATTACAGAAAATGATTGTGATATTTTAAGGTGCTCTAGCCCTAAGTGTTCTGTTAGAAAAGAGGATTGCGTAAAGATATCCCATCTGCTTTAGTGCTATTTGGCTCAAATTGCCTGCTGAAAGCTGTGCAAACCAGCTGCCCCGAAGTAGATGAGATGCACTGACACAATCCGTTCAGATGTCCAGCCGCAGGAGCAGTAAACTCTGGGGAGAGAGCAAGCACCCGGGGAGTAAGGCTTAAACTGCTGCAGCTGTTTCTTCTGTGAGTTTTGTATCTGGGGTGTACAGGGGCTGTCCTGTTACAGTGTATCAGCACAGTTAAAGGAGTGCAGCTTCTGCTTGTTGCTCTAAAATCCTTGCTGGGTCTTAAAAGCTGTTCCTCTCTTCCCTGCAGAGCTGACCCTCTTCTCTAGCAGGTGCTTCAGTAGCTGATAAAAGCCACATCTCCCTCAGCCATTCAGTGGCATTGAGTGTTCCGGCAATTCTAGTTCTTATGGCCTCTCTTCCTCAAGAGGGTTCTGCTGCTATGGAGACATGGTAACAGTTTTTAAATTTAAGTATTGTTTTAAGCAAAGCTAGCTTACTGTCCAGCACATCCAGTGCTGCATTGCTTCACAGAGTCCTTGGGTCCTTCTTGTGTTTTTTCTGGCTTTATTTTGCCCAGCTCCTTAATCTGCCAGTGGCTTATCAGTGGCTGAGTTAACTTAGGACAATAAATAAAATTGGAGCAAGAAAAGATGTCTGTGCTAGATGGGCTGAATTTAGGGCATGGGTAATCCTTTGTCACCTAATTTCCCATTGACTATGTGGAGCTGTTGGCAGACATCAGGCAGCTTTTCTATATGACTGTGCTTGGTGATCTGTTCTCCATTGTCCCAATTTCATGAGCAGGTAACTGTTCTGACAAAGACAGCTGAGCTTTATTTTCAGTAAAAGATAATAGTGGGTGTCAGTCCAGGATATAGATTAGTGTAAAACTTAGTCTGTAGCCTTAAAATTTTTTTTATTTCTCTGTTGCTGTAACATATGCAGAATATTTTCTTCAGTAATTAAACTTTACTATAGTAAGGCATTAAAAACTTGGGTGACTTGAGCTAAGTGGTTTGCATGTGTGCTAGGTATTGTACAGATAGATGAAAAATCCCTGACTGCTCACTTGCAAGACACTGCAGAAAAAGGAATTACGCAGGCTGTCTCTAAACTAGCTTGTCTTTTTTCTTGCTTTGCGAAGAGGACAGTTAGATGCTGTGTTTGTACCTGGGGGTGGCATAGGAGAGAGTGTCTGAATTTTGTTGTACCACCTTCTGGAACAAGGTAGGAATAAAGAAAAGTAGTCCTTCAGCTGTGTATGTAGCCCTAGGTCTTTTCTTTATGCTAGGCTCCATGGGCTTGACTCTTTTTGATCCTTTTTTTGGGATTGATTTTAATTGTTTATGGAACAAGAAGTACTTACACTTTAATGACTCTTTAAATTTGCAGTCCTTTTTGTTCTTTAGTCTTCACAAGGACTCTGAACATGTAATAAATTGCCTGCATGTACTGCTTTTGTTTTGCTACCTATGCAAAGCCCCAGGAAGATCATCTACCCAACTGCCAGTTATCAGTCTTAACTGCATGCTGCACAGCTAGGTGTATGTAGGGACTCTTGCATCCCACAGTGGGATTAATCAGTTCTTCAGGGTGCATTTGATAGCAGTGATGCTCCTCTGAGACCTTAGTTCTTCCTAGTGAAAAGCTCTCATGGATTGATAGGCTATTTTGATAATGTGACAAATGTGCTATTGAAGTGTACTCTTTATAACTTAGGCCTGTTCCCCTTGACAATAGGACTTAACTCTGGCTTTCATCAAAACAAAAGTGTGAATATGTAACATAAAAAGCACTCACTTTTTTTGGGGGGGGAGAGCATCTGATTGTAGAATTCAGAGTGGGACAGAACATGATCTAAAGTAACTTGGAAAATCATTGCATCATTAATTACAGTAATATTCCATACTCTTAAAAGTCCCACGCTGTCCCCATCTGTTTAGATTCTACAAGAAAGATGGTCACAAATGTAAATCTATATTACATGTTCCTCTTATTTTATTCATCCTATTGACCTCAGTAGGCTTCCTTGTATAAAAATTTGCAGCATCCATATACTACTTAAGCCTTTAATGCAATGCTTAATTTATGATTGTTACCTACAAACAAAACTATTTTTTAGGGCAATAGTGACAACTAAATGGTTTTATTAAAAACTGGAGCTCAGGACACAACAGCAAACTTTTAATTCAAGATGTCTACAGTGGCGTTTCAAAAGCATGCAAATGAGTCGTAGACAGTTCTCATGAATTTCAAACTACAGTCTCTGGGTGATAATGTAGGTGAAACAGTTTTGGTTTTCTTCCCAAAGCGTGATGTTGATTAAACCAGTCAGTGTTATTTGTTTGGTCAATGCTAGACTTGCAACTGTCTTGCCTGAGCCTTTAATGTTCTTGCAGCAATTGTGTTTGGAGGTCCTGGTTCTCTCAGCATAAACATGCTGTGCATAGAATCTCAGTTTCTGATGTAACTGAAGGAACAAAAATAGGAATAGTATATTCTGATATGTTCACGTTAGGGAACTGGAAAAGGACACACTGCATTTTAAAAACATCTTAAACTTGTTCTTTCCCAGCTTGCCTCTGGTCTCTTTGGTCTGATGGAATACACTTTTGCTGTCATCTCCAGATTTCAACTTAAAAATAGGTGGGAAGTGCTTGATAAACTTGGAAATAAAATGTTTAGGGCAAGGTGGAATTGGGAAAGAAAATGGGATAAAGTTGCTTGTATGTTGCTTTGGAAGTAGCTCATGTTCAAATTTTACAGTTTATTTGAAGTGGAACTTCTGAGTTCAGTTCTCTCCCTCCCATTCCCAACTCAGTTTTGGAGTCTTTCTTCAACTTACCTGGCTACATTTACACTCAGTGTCTCCAATCTATTGCAGTGGCTGCTGTTATCTAACATTAAAGCTAGGAACTAGTCTGTTGAAAAGCAGAAGGGGGAAATAATAAACAACTAGTAATCTAAATCACTAAATTTAACTGTTGCCAATTAATTTTAACTTTAAAAGAAAAATGATCTTGATCAAGTGAAATAGCTTTGCCCTACACCAGTATGATACCTTTGCAACACTACTGTGTTGCTCTCCAGACTATAGTGTAACCTTTTGAGACTTCCAAGGTTGAGTGGGAAGAAAGAGGGAACTAGAACTTACGGAAGCCAGAATGACAGATCGCATCCTTAGTTTCCTGGGCATGCTGTGGTTTCTTCTATTTCTGCTAGCATCCTCCTTAAATTGCTGTATCAGGCTGTGACATCACCTTGGGGAAAAATCAAAGGGTGAAATTTTCTGTCAAATTTCATTTTTCTTAAACAGTTTTAAATTCAGGTGACAAGGAGATTCAGGAACGTGTGTATATATAGACTCCTGAATTTTTAAGGGTTTTTCTACTGACAGAGTGCCCACAATCCTTTCCTGTTCTATTTCATATGATGGATTAATTTTGTTTTTCATTGTTATGCTCTTTTATAGTGGGGTGACTGCTATGTTACACTTTGAATGCATTTCATATCCGTGATACCTGAACAGGTTCAAAGATGGAAAATCCATTTTTAAACGTGTTAAAAAGACACTTAAGCTGCTAATAGTACAGAAAATTGTCAGGTTTTTAATACACTTGAGATGCTTTGGATGGAATTCTAAATGGATAGCAAGATCTTTTAAAACAATTTTCTAGTGCAATACTAATTTTAATTGCTTTTAGATTTGATGAGAATACTCTGAAGCCATATGACATGCTAATATCTTGTCAGTTGGTCTGTGTTGGTAAAGGAGGACTCTTACAGATACATCGGAAGGACAACTGAAGCAAGAATCAATTATGGAATATACGCCCTCGAGAACAAAGAGGAAAAATAACTACAGAGTACTTATAAGTAGCTATGGGTTTGGGTTTTGCAGCAGGGTTGTTCTTTAAGCTGTACTGGAAACTTATTACTGGTGACTGATTTTTGCTAGCTCTTGGACAAGGAGTGGCTAGTAGATAGGTCATTTTTGGCTTGGTAAACCAACAGTGTGAATTTAAGATGACTTAATTGCTTTCTTAAGTTTGCAGCAAAGTGACACTGTTGCTTTATTATTGATTGATCTAATCCTGGGAATCAAATCTGATATTGGATACTTTTTATGAAAGAAGGGTAAATAGAGTGAGACGTTTTTTCTGTACAAAACAACAGCACTTTGGTGAAAATTGAGTCATTCTAGAGACTGCTGCTGTTTCAGTAGGCTGGTAAATACAGTTTAGAAAAAGGTGCAGCTTTGCTCAGCTATCTTGACTCTGAAAATGTATGCTCTCTCCTAACCCCATAGGAATTATTTATGTTAATCACTTGGATACAGTGTATTTTTCCTAGCCTCTCAGTGACCTTAGCTAACGAGGCCCTCCAAGACAGGAAGGAACAAAGAGAAATTCTGAAGCAGTAAGGGCAAAGGTGGTGTTGCCTGGGGTTTTTTAATGTCTTCCTTTTTGTAGCCTGTTCATTTAGCTTCCATACCCAAAGGAGCATTTTTTCCCCTCAATATTAGATCTTCTTTTGCTGTATATTTCCCATACTGCTTGCTTTCTTAACACTTGACTGAATGCCCTTCAGCAAACTGCTTCCAGTTATTGTCAGAAAAACTATCTATCATCCTAATGAGTTTATAATCTTGGTTTTGGCATCACTACTATACAAACAATTAAAAGAAAACAAACAAACAAAACCATGAAAAGGATATAGGAATATGTTGACCAGTCTGGTTTCTTTCCTATTTCTGTCACTGTACTTTCCTGTCCTTTTAAAAAGCACCTTTTATCATTAGACTTTCTGGTTTGGGGAGTGTTCTTTGGCTTTTGGACATGCAATCATAACAATAACTCTTATCTGAAAACCATCTCTTCTGGCAGGTAAATTTGAAGAAAAGGAAGATAAAGTTCCAAAGTTGGAGCACTTAAATAACCTGGCATACATGTGCAATGTGAATGTGGTATTGAACAAAAAAGAATTGCTTAGAATGGAAATGCTGCTTTTGGAAAACTTCAACTGGAACCTCTGTCTACCAACACCAGCACACTACATTGATTACTACCTCTATGCATCCACTGGCGAGAATGACCTTCACAACGGCTGGCCGATCACCTCACTGACCAAAATCAAAGCCTTTCTGGAGAAATATGCATATTATTTCCTTGATTTCTCAGTGCAAGGTAAGAGGCTTAGTTTTATGCTAGAATCATCTTCCATTTAGCAAAAGGCACAAATCTGAGAGAGATAAGGGCTTTAAAACTTGTCATAATATGGATTGCACAAAATTAACTGTGAAGAGAAACCATTCTGCACAGATATTTCAGATGGTCAATGGTATGGTGTCCTTTCCTTGCGCATAAGCCTCTTGTCACTTTTCAGAAGTCTCTAAATGAGATCAATTTTTTTCTTCAGCTTAGAACATTAATTGGACAGACTGTCAGAAATGGCATCTAATTATTGATCTGCCATGGAGTATGAAATACTGTCAGCTGCAGACATGTTATTATACAGTTCAACGTATGAATCTTTTAAAATGCTATTTTTTGAGAGGATCCTGTGCTACAAAACATGACGTATTTAGAACGATGTGACTTTGAGTGATTTGGTTTGCAGCATGACTTCCAATGTCTGTCCATGTGAGAGGCAGCGAACTGCAGCATCCTCATAATCTGGGTTCAACAGTAATGTAAAACTGTGTGTGATTGTCAATACCTAACTCTGGTTCAGTTGAGACCAGTCTACAAATGTCAGCATAATCTATTTTGTGGCTTTTTCTGAAATGAAAGAAGCTATAGAGAAGCCTTGATAATAGTTACAAACAAGTAGTACAGAGATCTTTAGGAAAGCTTCATCCAGTTTTTGAGATTTTTTTCGGCTCATGAGTTAATACTTGGAGATGTATGGAACAACGTTGAGGATTTAATTTTGTCCTATTTTGCCATTTATATGCATAATAGACTTACTTAAGTGATTAGTAAGAGTATAATCCTTGCTTTTTTTTTTCTTTTGTAGATCATGCTTTCCTCCATTTTCGTCCATCTCTGATTGCTGCAGCTTGTGTGTGCGCCTCACGTATCTGTATGCAGATTTCTCCTGCCTGGACAGCACAGCTTGAATTGCTAACATGTTATTCCTGGGAACATCTTGCCCAGTGCATTGAAATGATGCTCATGTAAGATCAGAAAGAATGTAACCTGCTTGTGCTCTTAGGAAGATGTTAATACTCTATTTCAATTTTTTTTTTAAGTAATTGTTTAGCTATAATTAAGGTAGTATAGTATTACATTGGTAATCTCCATCTTCAGTTGGAGAGAGGAATAAAAGGGAAAAATCAGGTCACTTTACTAAATTCTGTATTTTAACAATGTTTGCAATGTGTAATGGAGCACACACTTTAGTGTTCACTGTTTCCTTGTACTGGTTGTCTATGTGATTGGATGGAAGCTTTTACAGATGGTCGATGAAAGCTTTTTTCCCCTTGTTTTCTCATTGTACTTGCAATATACTTGCTGCAGAGAGACACTAGTGTATCTCTAGCATCAAGTAGGGTGACATTTCAGAACTATTCTTTGTCCTTTCTCCAGTAAAGGACATGACTGCAATGCTTCAGTACTGGTCTGGTATGTGAGCACGTAGTCTTAACAGAAAATTTAAAAAGCTTAATAAATGATTTAGGTTGGGAGTGATAGTGGACCTTGGTGGTAACTTCTGAATTCCTACTTAAAGCAGGGTCAACTGAAGTTAAATCAGACTGCTTGGGGTGTTGTCTAGTCAAGTTTTGACTATCTCCAAGGACAGAGACTTCCAAACCTCTCTGGGCAACTTGTTCCAATGTTTCATCATTTTTCATGATAATCAAAAGTGTGAAAATGTTTCTTCCTAATATCTAACAGGAATTTCCCTTGTTCCCTTACAGCTATGCACTTCAATACTCTGCAAATACTTACACTATTTTAAAATGTTGTTGTGTTATGGACTTAAGGTTCCAAGATAACCAGTCCATCAGTAAAAAACATACTTGTGATGTATGCAAAATGATCCATAAACCTGTTGTTAGTGTGTGAAGATTGCAGCAGGCTAATTAGAAATAAATTGTGAAAGCAACTGAGGATTACCATATACAGCTAGAGCCAAAAAGCTGATGGTGTAGTCTGACTGATGAAAACTTTGAGATATATGCAAGCTCTGAGAACATCTCTCTCTGATAAATCTTACTTATTTGTTTCAGATACTATGAAAATGATATCAAAGAAGCTAGTAACATAAAAAAGCAAGTATCGATTCAACATCGAGAAGAGGAAGCAGCGGGAAATCTGAGCTATCAAGCCACTACTCAAGTTCTCTTCCAGCAATCTAGTTATCATCCATTAGCCCAGCATTCAGCTACGCTTTCCCAGTTCCAGTCACCAGTGCAAGATTTGTGCTCCGCTTATCGCGACTCCTTGCAGGCACACAGGCCCAGCGGTCTGTTTGCTGGGAGTGCTGACTCCCACGGTGCTCTTCAGGCCAGCCTTCGGCCGTCTGCCCAGGTTCTACCCATCCAAACACCCATTGCTGTGCAGGTGGCCTTAGGAACAGAGCCCAGACACTGCATTTCCACAGCTTATGGCAGTAGTTACTTCAGTGGTCATCACTCATATGCAGCTGGTTGTTTTGACAGATAAATATCAACGATGGAAAAAGGTGTTATGAATAGAAGGTAAAGAAGAAACTGTGTGTGATACAAGATGTGTATCTGAATGAAAATCACGAAGGAACAGAATCCTTCTGACTCGCTCATTCAGAGGACGTTGATTGGATCCACCGATTGCTGAAACCCGGGTGCCTTTCTGCCAAGGGTTGTACCTCTGGCTCTTAGTGAGAGAGACAAATAGAAATTCATTAATATACCTCGCTCAGTGTCACTTTGAGAGGCATCTGCGTAGAGACTCTGTGGAGATTACTTCCTTCTAGTCTTCAGTTAGTAACTGTCAGAGTTGACTGAAAGCTTGTGTTGAAGAGTTATGTCAGGCTGGCAGGTTTGTTGAATTTCTGGCCAAGTAGCAATGCACCTAGAGGATGTTGTTGGGAAACATGGAGTGCTCTCCTCCTCTCTCTGTGATGCATTGCTTGAACAGTGGCAGCTCATACTACTGGAAGCTTCTACTAAAAAGTACTGAAATTGGTATCAGTTAAACGTGAACTTCGTTTATGCAAAAATCTATGTGTAGAAGCCTTTCTGTTTGCTTTGAGCAGGAGTGATAGTTTAGGAGTAAGGCTTTAGAATAAAAGGAAAAAAGAAAAATGGGCCAGAAGACTATCGAATCATTTTTGACTTAAAATTCTCTTGGAATCTAAATGTGGTGCACTGAACAGAACATCACTCCGCCTCCAAGTATTTTAGAAACAAAAGTGAAACTTTAAATCATCTCTTAGATCTTTAACATGCTGCTGCTTTTGAGACTGAAGATTATTGTTAGTAAAATTGTTCACAAGGTTTATCAGGGATTTAATGTTACTTGAAGAAATGCTCTTGAAAGGTTCACTGCCTCCAGTTATTTCATCTTTTGGGCTCAATGACTTGTGGCAGTAGCTCAGGACAGATGAACCAGTGTTAATGGGGGCAAAGATATGGAATTGGTTGACTTTGCCTAGAACTGCAATCAAACCCTAATTTCACAGTAATGCTGACTGGTTTTGAATACCATCTTAGCATTGTCTTGGAAAACATAGCTGGTAAATGGCAGATGCTGTTGCTTCTTTGCAATGAGACACACCCCTACTGTCACATATCCAAAGGCTTCTTTCTCAACTGAAACCAGGGATGATTGTTCAAAAAACTCTACAGACTTATGTTACAGTAGATATTTACAAGAAATAGACTTCTACAAAGGTGAAACTTCAGTTTTGATATATGCAACCACTACTGTAAATTTGTTTGAAGGCAGTACTCTTGGTTTGTCTTTTCTCTGAAGGTTCTCAGGATAGCAATACAAGTGAAGTGCAATATGCTTTTATTGACTTGGGGCAATTTTTCTGAGTCACATGTCACAGTGCTGTTTTATATTTTTAGAGAATTCTTTTTCAGGGTGTTTTAGCATGGAGGGGAAAAATTAGCCTGCATGCTAATGCATGTCTGTATAACTGTCTTTCAAGAATGCAACTTTCGGTATCAAGTTAATAATTTCTTCCATTCAGCAGGCTAGAGGAATCTTCTTGGGTTTGGGTGTTTTGTTTGTTTGTTGTTTTTTTTTAAATGCAAACTATAAATGAAGAGGCAGTACTCTTCAGATATTAATCTAGATGTTTAGAGAATTTAGTTCATCTTTTATTCTTTTGGCTTTGTATTTATATTAAACTTTATTTTCAGAAGACTTCAGTGTATTTTTTGTGTCATTTGACAGGTAAAGAACATAATATATTGTGGCAGTACTTTTGTGCGGTTGTACGTTCAATCTTCTGGTGACTGTATCTACCAAGCAGGAACTGTCCATTGAGTTCTAGGTTCTGTTTGTTTCATTGTATCATGGGTGGAGTTGGGGCAGATTAAGTCCAACACCAGACTCTGCAAGAAAAAATATTTATGAGAATTTGAGTTGGCCCAATACTGCTTTGATTGACAGTTCTCCCCAGAATGCTTTAAATGTTGGTGGCAATTCCATGCATTTAATTTCCAGGCAAATACTTTTTCATGTGACTAATTTTTTTTTTTCCTTTGGCGAAAACATACCTCCTCAGGAAGAGCAAACGTAGAAGAGTTCAGCCAACCTAAAGACACTTTTATGAAGACGTTTTGCCACAATTACTTTTGGAGGGAGCTGCAGAGGTGCACGCAAAGCTGAGTTAATTTTTACACAAATGGATCCAAAACTTTCCACCTTAGCCTTGTGCTGTTTGATGCAGTCAGTTGCAGCACAGTCATAGATCAGAATTTTTACATGCTGATTAACTTGTAATTCCCTGGCAGACTTTGAAGTAAGAAAGGTTGCTACAAAAGCAAATGCAGTGAAACGTGGCTAGAAATACAAAACGTGGTATAGCACTAGTTACCCCCTTACATGGGAGGACATTGCAGATGTAACCAAATGTGAGAAAGCTGACATTAAAATTAAAAAACTCTAGTAGTGAGGCCTGATGAGACCTGCAGCAGGGATACAGATGGAAAAAAGTCTGCTAATGTTAATCAGGCATCAAAAGTTAAAATGAACTTATTTTAAAAAAATTACAGCTGCAGCTTGCTGCTTTTTTAAACAGGAAATGGAAGCTACTACCATCTCCCTATTTGTGAGAAAGCCACAACTTGGTGTTTGCAAAGCTGTCAGTCACTGTTTGATCTTTTTGTTGTAGCAAGTTTTACACACTGTAGCGAACAGTTTAAAGTTGATATAATGCTCTTTGATCAGTATAATCAACTCATCAGTAAAGTGTACAGGTGTTGCTTAATAAAATTTAGTGCTTTTTTTCACTAGCAAATGTGGGCCAAACACTGATGGATTCTTGTGCAAAATTATCACTAAGTTTTTTCTTTTTTTTAAGGGGTGTGTATTTTGCTCTCTGTACTGCCATTTCAAGACAAGCCTAAAGACTGTCCTCCAGTTGAAAAGGCAGCATTGCTTTTTTTCTCATGTGAAAGCACCCCTTACATGCTTTCTGAAATCCCCTCCTTCCTTTCAAAGCTTTGTTGTCTGTATAATGGAGGGTTACTTGATCACATGCAGAATATGAAAACAAAATGTGCTGGTGTCACACCACTAAATGTAGTTGCTGCTAGAACTGGAATAGTGGTGGCTGCTTCTGTTTTGTTTTCAAAGCAGGGAATCACCATGTTGTCAGCATCATCTCCTTCACAGCAACTTCTTGTGGGTGTGAATGGTTCAGACAAAACACCACCACTATCCCTTAGTTCTAGTATGAGCTTTAGTTTTGTGTAACACTTGCCCAGTATTTACCTGTGCCTAACTCTCTAGGTCATTCTGTGATGGGCACATTCTAAATCCAGATGTTCCAAGATATCACATTATTATTCTCAGAGGAATGCACAAGCTGACTTGAACTGAAATGAGGAGTAAGCCTGAAAAGATCCCTTACTTCTCAGTATGACCCTATGTAACTAAAGAGGCTGAATTTCAACAAAATTTTCTTAAGTCTGTAGATCTGTTTGTTGCAGGTACCAAAAGAATGTCTCAAGATTGAACAGGTTTCAGCTGTGATGTGTGCTTTTCTAATTAGAGTTCAGCATTATGCTTTGCCTTGGAAACAGGGTAAGTAATATATTGAGCAGCGCCTGGTTGTAAGATGTGCAGCCTGTTTTGGGTAAACCAATGGAGCCTGGAAGAAGCCTTGTTGCAGTAAGGAAAGCTTAGTAATCTCTATTGAAGAAAAACATAAAAAGTAATTAAAAGCCTTTCTTTTAATTCAAGATACTTGAAATGATTGGGATTATCAGTCAATGAAGTTTTGTGTACACAAGACAAGTGCCCTGGCTAACTACTGATTAGCTTGTGAGGGCAAGCACTAGGTGGATCCGGAAGGCAAGACAGCTGGAAAAGGGAGTTGGAAAGGGAAGAGCTTTGTGGACAGGGTGTTGGCCAGAAGTGATTTGGAACAATAAATCCAAAAACTGTGTTACATTTAATTCCTACTGTGTTCAAGAAAATGGCTTTTCACATGCACTCTATGTAAATAACAGGATTGCATTGACAAAATAAGACACTCTAAGTTTTCCCACAGGAGTCTGTCTGTAAAACCTTAAATTAAATGTCCTCTAAGAATTTGGGTCAAGAGGCAATACTCATGAGAATGAGAAAACTATGCTAGCAGTATGAAAGCATATCTTTTAACGAGTGATAAACTGACTTTCTCTTGTTTCCAAGCTCCTAAATTTCTGCTCTCCAACCAGCAATAGGGCAAAAGACTTTCATCTGGTCTTGCATTTTGATGTACGCTTTGGGCAGAGTATTGTCCTATTCTCTAGAGAGAAGCTGAATAGAGCTTCTATTAAGTAGGTGGTAGACAACATTTGAATATGCCAAGTATGCATCGTATCCTGAAACACTTAGATTGGAGAAGCCACATCATTAAATGCTTTGTATCTTCTGATTTTTGTGTTCTGATTTTTCTGAGCATTTGTCAGATCTTTAGGAATGGGGTAAGCATTAATGTTGAGGATAACATGACTCAAAACCAATGCTTTGTGTTTGTTATACAAAGAAAGAGAGGGAAAGACAATTAGCGCTTTTATTTATTTTTATTGTTTGGTTTTCAGTACACTGGAAGAGACTGGCTTTACTGCCTTAAGCAATCTTTTTGCTGGTCCTTTTGTAGACTGCACCAGAAGCAGTAGAAATCTGGAATAAAGATCAAACCAAAAATTTGATTGAACAGTGCTATTAGAGCTTCAATATCACAAATGAAAAGACCTGCTGACTGGCTTACAGAACCTGTCCTTTACTGAAGCAACGCTTTATCCTTTGGTAGATGACATAGCTAGAAACTAAGCTGAACATCCTTGTCAACTCTGAAATACACAGTGCAAAAATACACTTACACAACAAGCAGAACTTCTAAACAGGGGTTTAGGGATAACTTAAATGTATCCTGTGTTAGAGGTGCCTTCACTGACTCCAAGTTATCAGGGTTTCAGACAAGTGAGATAATTATTCTCCAAAAGCAATAAATGATTGACAATTTTCTTTCTTGCTTCACAGAGTCACTTCTGGTTAGCCTCTGTTGAAGATGCACTCAGACACATGTAACTGGCACAGACAAGTCAATGCAGGAAAAATTGTGAGAATCAGAAATCATGTTTGACAATCCTATCTAGTTTACAGGTTTTACTATAAGTATTGTAGTTTCAGTAATCTTACAAAGCTATGTTGCCATTTTCTTGATAAAAAAGAATACTACTTGAAATCCAACCTCTTCTGTGTTTTGTTCTGTTTTTTTTTTTTTTTTCCTTTGTTAAGACTAAGGAAATAAGGTTCTGCAGAAATTCTGCGAGGAGTTGCAGCTAGATTGTTTAATTCTTAGAAAACTAAGTTAATAACTTTATAGAAACATGTAAGTAGTAGGTGAAAAGTTTTATGTATAATTCTTTTCTATTCTTGAGGCACAGCAAATACAGTCAGAGACATGGCAGCTTGGGAATATTCCAGTCTTATAGCTATAAAACTGTATGTCCCCAAGATGCAAGATCTATGTTTCAAATTTATTAAAAAATATGATGAGAAGTTTGTTCATTTAATTTTTGGATTAAACCTGAAAAAATTGTAGAAGATTATCTAGAGTGAAGGAGAAAGTTATTTAATAGTTTTGCTTTACTTTAAAGATTTTTTTCTAAACTCAAAAGTTTAACCCTGTTGCTCTTGAGTTTTGTTGTTTGATTTTTGGGGGTTTTTTTTTGGAGGGGGACGACAGTATTTTAGGGAATTTTTTTTTATAAACTAACCTGGATATTTGAGAACTTACCTCTACCAGCTTTCCTCCAGAAATCTCTGCAGTATGATGATAGTTGGGAAAATCAGCTACAATTTTCCCATCTTCCATTTTAACAGTTGCCTGTAATAGAGAAAGGTTTAATGTTCCCTGGGGTTACTGGCATTTATATTATCAGATACATTGTAAACATCTGTACACCTGATGCTTAAAGTTTTTACTTTTAAAGTCGTAGTTGTGTATTACACATGTAGCTTCATGAACAAGACTAAAATCCTTGCGTTTTAGTTCGTAAATGTTCACAAGATAAATAGAAAATGTTCCTCTAACAATACATGCAAGTTTCATAATCTACACAATATTCATTCATAGCTCTGATCTGACTACAGACTATGCTTCTCCTTCAGTCCTCAGTGTTTTATGTGGTTCTCTTGTTTTGACAGTGAAGTAAAAGACATGATTGTACGAGTTTAATTTTGAAGTAGCATTCTTAGATGCTAGTAACCTGCCTGCAAGCAGCACAAAAGTCACTGTGGACAAGTGATGTAAATCTTTACCCTAGATGCTGAGTTTCATACCTCTAACTACATGAGAATTTATCTCGCTCATTTAAGTATAGATGAACATAACTGCATGGTCTGCAGTCACACCTTTACATTATAATATGTGCCAATTGCTGTAAGAGCTGCTTCTGTATGGAAGAAGTATGCCAGGATGCTACTATAAAGATCACAAATACTTCAGCAGCTCAACTGACTGCCAAAACTAGGTATGTAGTTCTATCACAAAATGAGTCTTGTCTGTGTAACTGGTCAGTCTTGCCTCTGGCTTTTAGTAATAAAGACAGATAAGCCAGTCATATTTAGAGGAGGAGAAAGTAATTTGCAAAATGAACAAGAAAACCATCTTACTAGTTTATGTACTGTTTAGCAACACTGTACTAAGAGGCAGTGGTTTCTCTGCTGAGAGTCATTTACTCTGCCTCCATCTTTGGCTGCTTAATAGGCTTTGGGCTGCTGAACTGCCCAGGTCTGAAAAGAAGAGAATGGAGTTTGTATTATTTCAAAATTGTTAATAATTGACCAAGTCGAATTGTGTCTTATTCTATCTGTTAGGTTTCACAAAGATTTCTCAAAGCCAAAGACATGGGATTTCTACTGTCATAATCAGAAAGGTCTGACTAAAAAAGCATTCTGGAAATCATGCAGTGCTATTGCTATTCTCAGTTTGTCACAGCTCCCTGATGCAATTGCTGGTTTTTCTACCTCTTCAATATGTATAAAGCATTTACCCAAGAGTCTATTATAGGGTTCTGGACACCTCAAAAATACAGAGTTTACCTGTCCCAAACTCTCTTATCCCTTTAAATAGATGAGAAATGAATAAGGTAAGTAAAGCAACCAGTTTACAGTAGGTTTTGTATCAAGATTTTTTTCCACAACAGGAGCAGATCAATATTGTGAAATCTTTCTTCTCACGAGAGGCTGCTTAAGTCGCTCCATACGTCCAGCAAGAAGGATACAGAGATTATTCTGCCCCCCCTTCACTTTACACAGCCTTTTGTTTAAGGCTCAGGCATAGGTGACTTCAAAAGGTTAGCACTGCCGACAGGCACGGGCACAGCCAGCAATTGCAGCACCCTCCTTGGTGTGCTGCAGCTGCTGTATGGTGCTGGTCAGTGACACAGCTGCCACCCAGCTCTTGAGAGTTTTAATGAGCATTATGTCTGCTTGAGCTGTGACACCAGTAGATGCTTGACTTTCTACCCTCTTTCTTTATTAGTACATACAGTTCTGAAGCTCTAGCTCCTTTAAAATCAGATTTAGATGTTGTGCTAGGGGCATCAAGAAATGGGGGGCAAATTATATGTTTCTAAGCTATGATACATGGAAAAAAACAATTTAAGGAATATGTCCTTGAGACATATTTGATTTTCACCCTAAATTAAAAACCAACTGAGATAGCACAGAACTGAAGAGCTAAATTAATTTACCTTGAACTTTTTCCCACCCATTGTTTCCATGTCTGCTTCCTTGCCAATTGTGAATGTGTTGGTTGTGGTGCGGCCTCCTGGGAAATGCTGTGTCCAGGTGAAGTCATTTCCATTCTGCACCACCTCAGTGATTATTTTGCAATTCCTTCCCATTTCAATCTTGTCACTGGGGAGACCTTAATCAATAGAAACATACAGTTTATCAAATCTAATAACCTACCAACTGTATTTGAATTGAAGCATGCTAATAGGATGCTTGTTCTCAGGTACCGATGTCTGAGCATCTGAGCTGTTTTGTTGGGGTTTTTTTTTTGTTTTGTTTTGTTTTTTTTTACACAGCAGTATCAAAGCTCAGAGTTTAAATTACTGGTATAAAGAAGATATAGGCACATCAATGCATCTGCTAAAATAATGTTTTGGTCTTGCATGCCTTTCCCTGAGAAACTAAATTTACATACAAACTATATATAAATATTCCCTTCTACTTAATTGACATGTACAAATGAGTGGAATTTAATATGTATAAACTTGGTGCCTTTGCTATGTAGCTGCACATACCTATTTGCTATTGTTCTTTAAATAAATGAACACAACCACTGAACTTACGCACATATAGTGTCCCCCCAAGAGACTTTACAGGGTAATCTGAAACATGTTTGCACAGCCTTCTGAAAGCATTCAGAGAAACCTGTTCCTGTGTACAATTTTGACAAGCATATTCATATTAACTTTATACTCTCACTGATGAATACTAAGGATACAAAAAGTGATCTTCGTGATCATTATACTGCACCCATCTTGGCCCACCATTCTGCTGCCACTGAGAAGGAATACTACTCCTGTAGAACAGGACTGTTTCCTATGGCTGATAGTGCTTTTTGTAAGAATGAAAACTGCATTTCCTTGCTGAAGTGCAGAGCACTCCTACCAGTTCTCAGCCCCTGTTGATCTCAGTACATTTCAGGAAAAAACCTTTTTTTTTTTAAAGTATACTTAACTAATTTATAACCTTTAAGACTGACACCCCAAGACATACTTACCAATCTTCGTCACAAAGTCATCATAGTTCTCATCACCTTCAAATTCATATTTGCCTGTGAATGCCATGTTGCCCTGGTGATGTGGCTGGTAGAGCAGAATAGCAGCTGGAACAAAGAAGAATGGATAAGTGCAGATGGCTTGAGGCCCTCCTTTTTATAAACCAGCCCAAGCTGTTCAGCCCACCTATACCCACACCCCTTGGAAATAGACTTTTATGATCTGTGTGAGTCACTAGCCTGGATGCCATTGACCTGTATGAAAATCAAGGTTATAATTCAATTATACATCCTTAACAATAATCTGGAGATCAGCAGAAATCAAGGACAAAAGCTCAGTTTTGGTTTTAGTGCATATTTAAACAAAGTGATATACTTTTACCTTGAAGATTCCACTGACATTGCAGTCAGGATGGAATAATGCTAAAATATGTTATAATGCAGATTCCACTGATATTGCAGTCAGGATGGAATAATGCTAAAATATGTTATAATGAAACTGCTTCAAAGCAGTGTCCTGAGATCATAGCCTTGCTCTATTTGGAAGCATACCCTATATTAGTTAAAATATGAAAATATGAAACAAGCTGCACAGATTCCTAATTCGGGTAGGATATGGGCAATGACAAGATTCTGGGTAAATTACTGCACCTGCACATGTCTTACCTTATCTCCACACAGAAAAAAGAATTATGAAGTATTTTACACTACTTGGATGTAAAGTGCATTAGATTTAGTACATGGCACCACGGCAATATCAAGAGACAAATAATGCTTTGTATTGCTTAGCAAATGTTTGCACAAAGTACAAAAAATATACTTATTTTGGAAAAGCAGAGCTCTGATTTATCTAAGATAACTATATGTTAAAATTCAGGGAGTCTGCTGGGTAATTTAGAATGCATACAGGAGATGTCCTATGCCTAATGAATCCATTGCTACACACAGATAGCAGGGTAGGAAATTTCCAGCTGCTGTGTATTGGCATAGCTCCACTGGCTGAGGATATAGACCAACAATTTTTAATCTGAACAAAAACATTCCTAGGATTTATGTGAAAATGGTGTCATAGATTGGAATTTTATTTTTTTTAATTAAAAGTAATAAATTTGGGAAGAAGCTGAAAATCTACTTTTCCCTGGGTTTAGAGAAGTCTGGAGAAATATATAACAGCATTCAACATTTTGCTGTATGCAAAGCGGGTTCCATTTCTTAAATGCAATTAATTTAACCCCACATGCTAATGCAAGAACATGCCTATTTAGAATCAAAAAACTAATCAGAAGAACAGGAACATAGGCTGGGTGATTAAAACCATGGAAAACAAAAGTCCACTAAACTTCACTATTGCTCTGCTCTCCTTGGTTTACTCTCAAATTAATGTATTCTATGTAACCATTTCTGTATTTCTAATTAATAGACTTATCCATATTCCACTCTGTCAAAGAATGAGACAAATTTCAGTAATGGGAAGAAATTTCCATTAAATGTTAAATATCATAAATCATGGTACATCATTATTGTAAAATTATACAAATTAGAAGCATTGCTACATCTAACAGTTGTATTACCAATACCATTGTCTTTGAGTTCACACAGTCAGTTGTACACTCCCTCAGCCTGTGCTCTAAATCCTGCATGTTGGAGAGTGAAGATTAGTTGGAAGCTGTTCTACCGAGCTGAGACAGAATGGTGCCTCTTAGTGAATCCTCCCTCCTATGGTCACATACTGGCTGTGTCTGGATGTAGCCTCACAGATTCGGGACTGGATGTAGATTATATCATACCAGCATTACATGCAAGAGGAGCTAGAAATAAGACAGCCTGTACCCAACTGTTTTGTCACAGCATACCAGTGTGCACAATAACTCCCTAAATTAGCATCTGTTGGTGTGTGTGTGAAGGTTTTATTAAACTTTAAATATATTTGCTATATATACATATATATTTAATGGCATATTACTTGTCAGGGTATGTTGCAACTCAATGAAAAAAATCCTCTCTAATTTCTATTAATTTTTTATTACACTTACTAAGCTGCTTTCTTTTATGCAAAGCCTGTGCTGTCTGTAAGTTATACAACCATTAAACCAATTACAGAATACACAGGGCACATGACGTTTGAATAGGAAAATGTTTCCTGTCTTAGGAAAATTTTTGGAGTTTCAAAACTTTTCCTTACAGGGGAAAAATGAGAGGGATTCCAGAATGACAAATTGGTGAAAAGTCTGAATCAGGCGAGAAGGGGACTTCTAATGGAAAAGAATTTTCTGATCACAAAAAGCTTCAGAAAATTTTGAGTCATTTTTGTGTGAGTTTATACCTGTGGACTGGAAAAGAGCTTACCTCATGTTCATTAGTTGGGAATTTATACTATTTCTGGATTTTTTTTTAACCTACTTCCTCTTCTGAAGTCTGAAAGTAACTTCAAAATCTTACATCTTCTTATGAAAGAAAACTTTCAAGTATAGATGTGGTGTTTGAAATTGACAACAATCCTTTTAGAACTATTTGTTTGTGTGTATGTTCCTGGCAGGAAAGCAGTTTTCTAGAACAGATGCAGAAAGTGAACAAGAATGAAGCATAACAAAATCATGGTCAATTTGTAAAATAAAAATGGAACAAATGTCCTAGGAACTACTGCCTTCCCACCCCTAACCCTTCATTCTCCCCATATTTACTCAGCTTTAAATTGTACCATGCTGTGCAGTGGCTGACTATATTGTGCTGGAGTTCATGACACCACAAAAGCCATACCATCTGCTGTCTGCATGCAATTAAAAGGATGTCTCTATACTTGAAATAGAAGAGAGCTATATACCTTCCCTCTGTGAATGTTCTCCATGTCCTGTGATTAGCATTCAAAACACAGGAGTGTGGGAGAAAAGTACAAAACTGGGAGTTTCTGTATCAATTACAAATACATAAGATTCAGGGAAGGAACTTGTTTCACTGCCAGTGTTTCCTTTGCACTTTTGATTTAAAAGTGTATGCAAAATTACTTTGACTGTCCCTCAACCATATTTGACACTTAGTTTTTTAATTAGAACTCCTTCAGCTTAATAGCAAGATTGCCGAACTCAATGGCCAATTGTGCAGAAGCAGACAACTAACAAGGAAACTTTATCAGCTGGACCCAGATGCCTAGGCCATATCTATATAGAGAAAAACAGCATTAGCATGGAAAACAATGAAGTGGTTGCACATGCATAGAAGCCTCAGTTCTTATTGCTATGGTAAAGCTAAGTATATACCAGTTAAGCTACCATACTGTAAAATCTATGCCACTAATAGAGGCAAAACCCCTAGTAATTTCAGTCATGCACAAATTCGAAAATACCATTTAGAGAAAAGTATCATCAAGCCTATTTCATACATGAGAAAGCTGAAACACTAAGAAAAAATGAGCTATCAGAGCTTATGACATAGTGAATGGATGATGCAGCCAGTAAGAAATCCTAAGTCCAGGCATTAACCCAACGTCCACAGGATGACACATTAATTTAAACATTCTTATAATAAAGAAGCCCTTAGAAGCAAACCATGAGAGCTCTGAGCAACCGTTTACTTTCAAACGGTCACCCAGGGAGTTTTACACTTGCTCCACTGATGGGCTGTGAGAATCTTTACAGCTGCTTAGCACAACTGGCTGAGTACATCCCTAGTTAAGATTCTTGCCATCTCTGTGTGGCTCTGTGTGTACTGAAAGATACCCAGTGTCCAGCCCCAACTGTGCTTTTGGAGAGCAGGTGACCAGCAAGACTGTCCTCAGGTTAGCTGAGCACCAAAGGCCTCTGTCTCACCCTGGGCTCTCAGAGCTCCAGATAGACATGCGTAACCCTATGAAGAAGGTAAATTAATTCAAGCCATAAACTCTTCTGTTTACGTAACACTTATTGGGGGACAATACCACCGGCGTAGTAACACCACATGGACCTTGGAAGATAGATCAAACTGGATAAGAAAAAGCCACAGTTTGTGAAACAGGAAAAAGATAATCAGATTATATGAACAGTACTTGAGCTTTTATGTTCTCTCTCTCTCTAAAGATCAAATTCTATTGATAGCTTTCTTGTGATGTGATATAAAATGCTGACATCTACACAGTTATACAATACTTAGAGCCTGCCTGCAGTTGGAATGTGGTGGGCTTAGAGCCAGGGCGTAGGACAGTAAATTACCAATGAATAACTATCTGACTGGGTGGGTCACTCTTGCCACACACTAAATATGAGTTTATTCACCTCCAAGGAATTGTATGCTATGCTGTACATGGGAGTTCCAGAGCAGGTTGCAAACATCCATCCAAACATAAAGATAAGACTACACAGTTAATAAATCTGTTTACTCTGCCTGGCTGCTCAGGATCAGAATTAGTTTAGAACAAATTTTGAGCAAACGTGACATCATCTGTACCTGTCTGTGCAGAGGAGTTTTTAATGTGCACTGCAAATTTGCACCCATGTTTCTGCTCACTTATTCTGAAATAAATCCTTATTTTCATTCCTGCCTTTTTTTTGTTATAAAATGTAATGAAATTCAATAGTGTATTGGAGAATGAAGAATTCATTTAAGTAGTCTTCCAAATACTGAATCAGGACAATGTTTATTCCAAGAATAAAGAATGGAGGGCCTCTGACTTTACTGAAGTTACGGTCACTTGCACAGTTGCTAAGGTTAGTCATCCAAGTCCTGATCTCTTCAGTTTCAGCTAAAACCAGTATCCATTTAATGACCTTACGCTTTGCATTTACAATATTCATAATTTTCCTGCTCTTCAGAGCTATGAGCATGTGACGCTGCTTTTGTATAGACCTCTACAGCAGTGCTTCATCCTTGGTGGGCTGGTCATTGAACTAAATGTCACAGAGAACTCCAGAATTATCCCGTAAAAAAAAGAGAATAAATTTATGTCTACATATACATGTATTTTAAACACATTACATGTACTTAATCTATTCCAACTACTACAGTGTAGAGCCTGCACAGTACTGCAAACAACCTTAGTTATGTTATACTTCTGCTTAACAGAACTCAGTTCAAATCCAACTGAATTTACAGCTATAACTAAGACCAGTGGAAAAAGAAAAGATTTTTCCCTGGCATAAGGTGAGTATCGTA